TCTCCGATTGGCCGACTGGCCGATTCACCGGCTGGCCGACTGGCCGACTCCCTGTTTCCCCTGACTGGCCGACTCCCCGACTGGCCGACTCCCCGACTCCCCGACTGGCCGACTCCTCGGTTCCCCGACTCTCCGACTCCCCGACTCCCCGGTTGGCCGATTCCCCGATTCTAGCAGAGATGCCATCCGAGTTCTGCCCAGGAGTTCCCAGGGGCTCCAGGACAGCTCCCAGACGCTACGATCTTCGACCCGAAGCCAGAGATCGCAATGGACAGGGAGCTCCCGGGAGTCCCTGCCGGGGTTTTCAATGTCTCCTTGGGCGCTTTCTCGGGAGCCCTCTCTCTCTGTCCCTCTTACTTTTCGCAGTCTCCAGGGAGACCCGAAAAGGGTATCCGAATCTCTTCTAGCAGCACTCGGGGGCTTCAGGAGAGCCCCAAGAGGCCACGATCTCCGAACTAAGGCTGGAGATCATGGTGGATCCTGGTGCTCTGAGAGATCCTGCCGAGGCTTCTTCTAGTTGTTTTGGTTTTGTGTTTTACTTTCTAGTGGCCGTTCTCTGTTTCGGAGCTTCCAATAAGTGTCTAAACATTTAAACATGGTGCTCCGAGGTGTCCAGTAGCTCCAGGAGGCTCCGACACGCTACGATCTTTAACTGAGGAGGGAGATCGTGACAAATAGGTGCTCCCTGGGAGTTCTGCCGGCGCCTCCTGAAGCTTCCATGGAGCTTTTTCGGAGCTATCGGTTTCATTTTGAAGTTGCCAGGAAAACCCAAATCCTTTCCAGGAGCTCCCAGGGCCCCCAGGCAGGCCCCAAGACGCCACGATCTCCCGACTCAGACTGGAGATCGTGGCGGATAGGGGGCCCCTGGGAGGCTCTACCCGAACCTTCCATGGCTTCCTTGAAAGTTTTCTCGGGAGCTCTCTCTCTCTCTCTCTCTCTCTCTCTTTCTCTGTCTGAGGGCTTCCAGGGCTCCCCGACTGGCCGACTCCCCGACTCCCCGACTCCCCGACTGGCCGACTCCCCGACTCCCCATCTCCCCGACTCCGCGACTCCCCGGCTCCCCGACTCCCCGTATCCTCGACTGGCCGACTCCTCGACTCCCCTGACTCCCCGACTCTCCGACTCCCCGACTGGCCGACTGGCCGACTGGCCGATTGGCCGACTCCCCGACTGGCCGACTCCCCGACTGGCCGATTCCCCGACTCCCCGACTGGCCGACTCCCCGACTGACCGACTTCCCGACTCCCGGAACTCCCCGACCCCCCGACCCCCCGACTCCCCGACCCCCCGACTCCCCGACTCCCCGACTGGCCGACTGGCCGGCTGGCCGATTCCCCTGACTGCTCGACTGGCCGGCTCCCCGGCTCCCCGATTCCCCGACTGGCCGTCTGGCCGACTGGCCGACTGGCCGACTGGCCGACTGGCCGACTGGCCGACTGGCCGACTCCCCGACTGGCCGACTGGCCGACTGGCCGACTGGCCGACTGGCCGACTCCCCGACTCCCCGACTGGCTGACTGGCCGACTGGCCGACTCTCCGTTTTCTCGACTGGCCGACTCCCCGACTGGCCGACTGGCCGATTGGCCGACTGGCCGACTGGCCGACTGGCCGACTGGCCGACTGGCCGACTGGCCGACGGGCCGACTGGCCGATTTGCCGACTCCCCGACTGGCCGATTGGCCGACTGGCCGAGTGGCCGACTGGCCGACTGGCCGATTCACCGACTCTCCGACTGGCCGACTGGCCGACTCCCCGTTTCCCCTGACTGGCCGACTCCCCGACTGGCCGACTCCCCGACTCCCCGACTGGCCGACTGGCCGATTGGCCGACTGGCCGACTCCCCGACTGGCCGACTCCCCGAGTGGCCGACTGGCCGACTGGCCGACTGGCCGACCCCCCGTCTTCCCGACTCCCCGACTCTCCGACTCCCCGACTGGCCGATTGTCCCGGCTCCCCGACTGGCCGACTCCTCGACTCCCCGACTGGCCGACCCCCCGACTGGCCGATTCTTCGACTCCAGCAGAGATGCCATCGGAATTTCGTCCAGGAGTTCCCAGGGGCTCCAGGACAGCTCCCAGACGCTACGATCTCCGAGCTGAAGCCAGAGATCGCAATGGACAGGGAGCTCCTGGGAGGCCCTGCCGGGGTTTTCAATGTCTCCTTGGGGTCTGTCTCGGGAGCCCTCGCTCTCTGTCTCTCTTACTTTTCGCAGTCCCCAGGGAGGCCCGAAGAGGGTATCCGAATCTCTTCCAGCAGCACTCGGGGGCTTCAGGAGAGCCCCAAGAGGCCACGATCTCCGAACTGAGGCTGGAGATCGTGGCGGATCCTGGTGCTCTGAGAGATCCTGCCGAGGCTTCTGGTCGTTTTTTTTCTCGGTTTTGTGTTTTACTTTCTAGTGGCCGTTCTCTGTATCGGAGCTTCCAATAAGTGTCTAAACATTTGCACATGGTGCTCTGCAGTGTCCAGTAGCTCCAGGGGGCTCCAGCACGCTACGATCTTTAACTGAGGAGGGAGATCGTCACAAATAGGTGCTCCCTGGGAGTTCCTGCCGGCGCCTCCTGAAGCTTCCATGTAGCTTTTTCGGGAGCTATCGGTTTCATTTTGAAGTTGCCAGGAAAACCCAAATCCTTTCCAGGAGCTCCCAGGGCCCCCAGGCAGGCCCCAAGACGCCACGATCTCCCGACTGAGACTGGAGATCGTGGCGGATAGGGGGCCCCTGGGAGGCTCTACCCGAACCTTCCATGGCTTCCTTGAAAGTTTTCTCGGGAGCTCTCTCTCTCTCTCTCTCTCTCCCTCTCTTTCTCTGTCTGAGGGCTTCCAGGGCTCCCCAACTCTCCGACCCCGCGACTCCCCGACTCCCCGTCTTCCCGACTCCCCGATTAGCCGACTCCCCGACTCCCCGACTCCCCGACTCCTCGATCGGCCGACTCCCCGACTCCCCAACTCCCCGACTCTCCGACTCCCCGACTGGCCGACTCGCCGATTGGCCGACTTCCTGACTCCCCGACTCCGTCTTGCCGACTCCCCGACTGACCGACTCCCCGACTGGCCGACTCCCCGACTGGCCGACTGGCCGACTGGCAGACTCGCCGACTTGCCGTTTCCCCGACCGGCCGACCCCCCGACTGGCCGACTGGCCGGCTGGCCGACTGGCCGACTGGCCGACTCCCCGACTGGCCGATTGGCCGACTGGCCGACTGGCCCGAATCCCCTACTCCCCGACTCCCCAACTTCCCGACTGGCCAACTGGCCGACTGGCCGACTCCCCGATTCCCGACTGGCCGACTGGCCGACTCCCCGACTGGCCGACTGGCCGACTCTCCGATTGGCCGTCTGGCCGACTGGCCGACTTGCCGACTGGCCGACTGGCCAGCTTCCCGATTTCCGACTGCCAGGCTGGCCGACTCAGCGACTGGCCAACTGGCCGATTGGCCGACTGGCCGACTCCCCGACTGGCTGATTGGCCGACTCCCCGACTCCCCGACTCCCTTGACTGGCCTGCTGGCCGACTGGCCGACTCTCCGACTCCCCGACTCTTCGACTCCCCGACTTGCCGACTGGCAGACTCCCCGATTGGCCGACTGGCCGACTGGCCCACTGGCCGACTCCCCGACTGGCCGATTGGCAGATTGGCCGATTGGCCGACTGGCCGACTGGCCGGCTCCCCGACTGGCCGACTAGCCACTTGGCCGACTGGCCGCTTGGCCGACTGGCCGACTGGCCGATTGGCCGACTCCCCGATGACGCCCCGACTCCCCGACTGGCCGACTGACCGACTGGCCGACTCCCCGTCTCCCCGACTTCCCAACTGGCCGACTCCCCGACTGCCCGACTGGCCGACTGGCCAACTGGCCGACTGGCCGACTGGCCGACTCCCCGACTGACCGACTGGCCGACTGGCCGACTGGCCGACTGGCCGATTCCCCGACTGGCCGACTGGCCGACTGGCCAGCCCCCGATTGTCCGACTGTCCGACTGGCCGACTCCCCGACTGGCCGCGACTGGCCGACTGGCCGCGACTGGCCGACTGGCCGACTCAGCGACTGGCCGACTGGCCGACTGGCAGACTTGCCGACTGGCCGACTGGCCGACTGTCCGACTGGCCGACTGTCCGACTGGCCGACTGGCCGATTCCCCGACTCCCCGACTGCCCGACTGGCCGACTGGCCGACTGGCCGACTGGCCGACTCTCGGGCTCCCCGACTCCTCGATGAGGAATCGGAAAGTTCATTTCGGCACCTCAAAATATTTTCCTATTCCCCCCGGGGGACCTGCCCCCTCCCCCCCACAGGGAAGGGATCAAAGGGAAGGGGCTTCCCTTCGACTCAATGACAACGTTGCGTAATTTCGCTGTTGATGGGCTGGTGTATTTCGCTTTGGCTGGTGTGCTTGAGGACGAGGGCCCAAGGACAGGGGAGGAGCGGCGATAGTGAAGCTATTTTGGTTCATATGTGTGTGTGTGTGTGTGTGTGTGTGCGCTAGTTTTGTCGTTTTTGTTTTTTGTTTGTTGTTTTGTTTTTGTTTTGCTTTGTGTGTGTGTGTGTGTCAATTTTAGGGTTTCTCGTTTTGAATGTTTTTCCTTTCCAACGCCCACCTTGCCCGACCTGAGGCCAGGCCTGCCCCTGGCGAGCCCCGCGCCGTGCCTCCTGGGCAGCGAGGCCGTGCGGCCCGGGGACGCGAAGGTCGGCGGCCACCACGTCCTCATGACCTCCCCCCTGCGCGACGCCCTCTGGAGCGCCGTCCGCCACGGCTGCTGGGGCCCGGCCGCCAAGATCCAGGCCGCCTGGCGCGGCTCCTGCGTCCGGGCCGCCGTGGGCGTGCCCCTGCGGGAGGCCATGGCGCTGAACCGGCTGCTGCGCGAGGCCGCGGCGGCCGCGGACGGCCCCCTCGCGCTCGGCGCGGAGCGGGCAGAGGTCCTCGAGGTGAGGGGGTCTCGATGGGGCACCCGCGCCACCGTGTTCGACGCTCGTGTCGGGGAGCTTCCAGGGACCCGCACGACGGATCAGTTCGGTTCTTTCTCGACTCCACTTCGACTCCAGGTCGACTCAAGTTCGACTCGGGTCGGCGGACGTCCGACGCAGCATCGACGCAGGAGTGGAGCGAGTGGCTCCAGGCAGGTCCCCAGAATGAGCATCTGAGCCGTAAGGACAACAGATGTCACCACCCACCAAACCACCCCAACCCAACCCGAAGCCCTCAATTTGCCCTCCATTTCCAGTGGTGGGGGGGGGGTCGAGGAACGTTGAAACAAATACATGGAACCCGTACCCCCCCCAACCCGAAATTGGGGTCAAATTCGGGTCTCCGGGTTGGGTTGGGGTGGTCTGGTAGGTAGTCAGGATGGAGGAAGGGGGAGGGGCTGGAGGCTGGGAGGGCGGGGTGGGCGTGTGATGCCGGCTCCCTCGGAGGCTGCGCTGCAGGCTTTGGAGGAGCTGCTCCGGAGGGCCGCCGTCCTCCACCTCGCCATCCCGAAGTTCGAAGACTTCGTGGCGGTGCGCGCCAGGCTGGCCCAGCGAGCCCGCGCCGCGCGGCTGCTCGCCGACCGGCTGCCCTCGGCGAGCGCCCACGAGGTCTCCGCCCTCGCCGCGCGTGCGGCGGCCTGTGGGCTGCGGGGGGCGCTGCTGGAGGCGGCGGAGAGGCGCGCGGAGGCGCTGCGCTCGCAGCTGCGGGTGCGGTGTCTGCTGCGGGCCGCGGCCGGGGGCGGCGAGGCCGCCGCGGCCGAGGAGGCCGTGGCGCTGGCGGAGGCGGAGGGGCTCAGCGCCGCGGGCGCCTGGCTCGTGGAGGAGGGCCCCGCCAGCCTGGAGGCGGCCCGCGCCAGGGCGCAGGAGCTGCGGGAGGCCCAGCGCAGCGAGGCCGAGGCGGAGGAGCGGCTGGAGCGGCAGCTGGCCGCCGCGGCGGGCTCGGTGGACCCGCTGGAGCTGCAGCGCGCCATCGGCAGGGCGGAGGCGCGCGGCAGGCCCGCGCAGCAGGTGGGGCCGCTGCGCGGCAGGCGCGACGAGCTGCGGCGGCAGCTGGCGGTGCTGTCCGAGCTGCGCAGCTGCGCGCGGCGGGGCGCCGCGGAGCCGTCCCGCGCGCTGGCGCGCGCGGAGGAGGCGGGCCTGGGCGCGCCCGAGGCGTGGCTGCTGCCCGAGGGGCCGAGGGTGCTGGCGAGGGCGAGGTGCTGGGCGGCGCTGCACCAGAGGGAGGCGCGGGCCGCGGAGGCGGCGCGGGCGCAGGCCCGGCGGGGCGCACGAGGGGCGCGACGCGGAGGGGGGCGTCCTTTTGTCAAGGGGGGACAACTCTGAGCGGGCGAGAAGCGGTAGACCATCAACTTTCCCGCCGTCGGGGACGCCTGCCCCCCGAGGGCGGCTGGAGAGTTTATACCCTGACGTGCCACCGTAGGCGTACCGACTTCCCAGCCGCCTGGGGCCGTTTGGTTTCGCTTAGTTAACGCTGCGCTGACTAAGCGGAACTCAACGGCCCTAGGCGTTTACTGCACAGCCCTGCCCTGTCCGATTCCTTTCTTGGGTGCGCTTGCTGGACGGCTTCGCTTGTCGGGGTGCTTATCATGAGGGTGCTTTTGTTTCTGCTCTCCACTTGGGGAAGGCGGGGGGCCTGAGAGAGGCAAGTGGCTGCCCTGAAGCCCTCCTGGCCTCTGAGGCGCCCTCTTGGAAGCCTCCAGGCCCTCCACAGAGGGCCCATCCTGAGATCCGACGCCGCGAGAAAACGTGCAACATCGCAAAACATCTCATCTGGAGCCCTGGACCAAGTCTCTCCGCTGCATTGTTCTGTCCGGGGGCCAGCAACAAGACCAGCTCGCCCGCTGGCGAAGAAACGCGGCACCAGGATCCCGAGACCCCCCGCCTTCTCGGAGGGGGTCGCCCCCCCCCCTCCCCCCCCCCGCGCGACCCCATCGGCACGCGCCGCCAGCAGGTGGAGAAGCAGGCGGCCGTGCTGATGTGCTCCTTCGATCTCGAGGCCAGGGCTAGACCTAAACGCTGTTTTGCTGGACTTCGGCAGTGTTTTCTTTGTCCCCATATCCTAAGATGGGGTTCTTGTTCCCCATATCCTACGATGGGGCTCTTGTTCCCATATCCTAAGATGGGGTTCTTGTTCTTACTTGGACGCCTCCTACTCCTCCTTCCTCTTCTTCTCTTCCTCCTCATCCTCCTTCTCTTCCTCATACCTAGACTTACTCATGCACAGAGTTACTCATACACAGACTTACTCATACTCAGACCTGGTCATATTAACATACTCATAGTCAGACCTACTCATACTCAGACCTACTCATACTCAGATTTACTCATGCTGAGACTCATTCATACCCAGACTATCTCAAACTCAGACCTTCTCATTGTCTGACTTGCTCAGCACACAGCAGATTGTGAGGATATCTCAGGCGGGGCGCTGGTTTCAGCACCCCTAAGGGGAGCCGCCAAGGGGTATGACACGGTCCCGTTCGCTGCCGCTTTGTGGGGATGTCTCAGACGGTTTGCTTGTTTTCTGTCCCAACATCCTTCGCTTGGAGGGCAGATTGTGGGGATGTCTCAGGCGGGCGCTGGTTTCAGCTACCTAAAGGGGAGCCGCCAAGGGTGCTTTCACGGCTCCGTTCGTGGCCGTTTTGTGGGGATGTCTCTAGCGGTTTGACTGTTTTCTGCTGTTGCGTTGTGTCCCGAGAGGCTCTCCCCGTTGCGTAAGGCGGTCAAGGTTCAGTGTCTTGCTGACGTTCAAACTGGAGAGGGAACTTGAAAATATTCTCTCTCCCTACGAGTAGGACGATTGAGGTATACGAGAGGAGGAGGAGAGAGGAGCTTTGCTTCGTGTTTGGTAGTCAGGGAAACTAGCGCATTTTTTTTTTTTTTTTTCTTCTTCTTCAGGGATTGGGAAGATAATTTTTCCCTCAGGGACGGAACAGGACTTGAGTCGTTGAATGTTGGCGCAAATCAGTATTTGCGATGCAAAATCGCACGAGACGCGCCGGAGGGCCCTGGGACGGTAAAAATATTGTTTTGGGTTTGTTTCTGGCGGCTCCGGGGGCTCAGAAAGGATCTCCGGGACAGGGGAAACACGGAAGGGATCCTATCTAAAGGCATTCGGCCAAATCCGCCACCGTGCTTGGGTAATGGGTGGGAGAGGGAACTTGAAAAGGTTCACTTTCCCGCTTGTGGTCGAAGTGAAGAGGGAACTTGACAAGATTCACTCTCCAGGCAGGGACAGGGAACTTGAAAAGGTTCACTCTCCCTCGTGTGGTCGGACTGAAGGGGGAACTTGAAAAAGTTCAGCCTTCAGTCGCGGGAAAGGGAGCTTGCAAAGGTTCACTTCCCCGCATGTGATCGAACTGGAGCTTGCAAAGTCGTGGTCGGACTGCAGGGGGAACTCGAAAAGGTTCACCCTTTATCCCAAATGCGATACCCTCTAAAAAGGATGCACATGTGGGGAGCCGCACGCAGTGAGCAATTCGCTTTGGCAGGGAGGTACAGTCGGGGCCCTGAAGAAGGAACCCTTTTGGATGGGGAGGGGCTCCGGTTTCCTTAAGTGTTTCACAGCTTGCCTCAGGTTTTCCTTATGTTTTCGATCGGAAATCGAAGTTTAACTTATGGAAAAAAGGGGCCTCGTTCCTTATTTAGGGTTCCTTAGGTCAACGCCCCGACTGTAAGGGCAGAGCAGAACGAAGCACAGAACGGAAGCAATACGAAACACAGCGCTTTGGTCCAGCCCTGCCTCGAGGCCGTGCTCGCCTGCGCGGAGCGGGCGCGCGGCGCGGGCGCGCGGGAGGACGTCCCCGCCGCCCTGGAGGCCCGGCACGGCGCGCTGCGCGGCCAGGCCGCGCTCTGCGAGCAGCTCCGCCTGCCGGAGACGCCCGAGGCCGTGCGGCGCGCACGAGCGCTGTGCATCGCCGTCTCGTCGACTCGCCTGCCCTCTCGCGCCGTGGCCTTGTGTGTCTCATAGTACGTAAGATTGTCCTCTCGCACTCTCTCCTCCACCGTCCTCCTCTCTTTTTCTTCTTCTTTTTCTTCCTCTTCTTCTTCTTCATCCTCTCCTCTCCTCTCCTCTCCTCTCCTCTGTTCTGCTCTCCTGTGTTCTGCTCTCCTGTGCTCTCCTGTCCTCTCGTCTCCTGTGCTCTCCTGTCCTCTCGTCTCCTCTCCTCTCTCTCTCTTTCTCCTTATGCTACTCTTCTTCTTGCTCTTTGTATTTCTCTGTTTGCTTTTGGTTTCTTCATTTCGCTCCCTCTCTCTTTTGTTATTCTCTCTCCATCTCTCTTCTCCTCTCTCCTTCTCTCTCCCTTGTCCCCTCTTTTCCCCCTCCCTCTCTTCCCTTCTTGCTATTTATCTTCCTCTCTCTCTCTCGCTCGCTCTCTCTCTCTCTCTTTATTTCCCTTTGTTTTCTAATCCTTCTCTTCCTCTCTCCACATATGTATAGATGTATATACATCTCTCTCTCTCTCTTTCTCTTATCCGTCCCTTTCTCTCCATGCCTCATCCTGCTTCCCGACGGAGGCTGGTCCTGGAGTGCCTCGTCGCTCTCGGGCCCTGTGGGGGCCCCGCAGGGCCCCCGGGACTGTCGCCGACTGGCTCCGGGTGCAGAGCCGGCCCCCCCGGGGCCAAGCTCCGCGGGTCCAGGACCCGTCTCCCTCGGGACCCTCGGAGGTGGGGAGGGAGGGAGGAGAAGGGAGGAGGGAGCTGGGGAGGGAGGGAGGGAGGGAGGGGAGGGAGGGAGGGAGGGGAGGAGGAGCGGAGGAGGGAAGAGGCGGAGGAGGCAAGAGGAGTTGGGGAGGAGGGAGGAGGAGGAGGCAGGGAGGGAGGCAGGGAGGGAGTGAGGGAGGGAGGGAGGAGGGCGGGAGGGAGGAGGAGAGGAGGAGGAGGAGGAGGAGGAGGAGGGAGGAGGAGGAGGGGGGGAGGAGGGAGGAGGCGGAGGAGGAAAGATGAGTTGGGGAGCAGGGAGGATGGGGAGGAGGGAGGGGTGAGGAGAAGGGAGGGAGGTGGAGGGAGGGAGGGAGGAGGAGGGAGGAGGAGGAGGAGGAGGGAAGAGGCAGGAGGATGAGAAGGATGAGAAGAAGAGGGAGGAGGAGGGAGTTTCCCCCATGCCAGACACCTGAGAGCTAAACCATGACACGAGCATGGCAATGCGGAGGCCCGCGAAGGTGTCTTGGCTCGGCGCTGGACCCCCTCCCAGGCGCGCGAAGCGGTCCAGGGGCGGCGCCGGAGGCGCCGCCAGGGGGTTCAGCGCTGGTGCAAGGCATTCGCGCGGACCTCCGAGTTGTGATGCAGGGATCCAAGGGTGCATGTGCACCGCTTGAACCGCCTCGTCCTTAGGACCCCATCCCTAGGACCCCATCTTTGAACCCGAGGATCCTCTCCAGAAGGCCTCCCCTCTCTTTCTGCCCCCTCGTGTGCGCCGCCACGAGGCCGCGGACGCGGCGCTGGGTGCTGTCGCGGAGGCGTTATGGGAGGAAAAGCCACCCCGACCGTTATAATTAGCGTTTGTTGAGCGGCCCTGGGCGTTTATCACCGAGCGCGGGTTCCACTACTCGCAAAGTGCTTACTCGCAAGCGTCCGGAAACCACATGCTTGCCTCGATGTAATGGATCGTGAGGCCCCCGCGGCGGAACCAGGCCATTTGCGAGTAGTTATTTTGCGAGTAGTGGAACGCGCCTGTCTTGTTTACTGAACAGCGCTGCCCTGTACGATTTCTTCCTTGGGTGCGCTTGCCTGAACGGCTTCGCCTGTCGGGGTGCTTATTGTGAGGGTGTTTTTTTATGCTCTGTAAGGCTCCAGGCCTCAGATGAGGTCGGAGCAGGTGGGGTCGGAGGACTGCGCCGCATCGCCGATGCATCGGCGACGCGGCTTGATGCGGAGCCCGATCTTCTCCACGCCGACGTTGCAGATCCACCGCCGAGGCATCGGTGATGCATCAGCGATGCGTCGCGACTCTCCGATCCCATCCGCTCGGACCCCATGTGACCGACGGAAAAAAAGCGGGGTCGGCTGAGCCGGCATTCGCGCGCAAGCTGCTCGGGTCAGGTCGTGCGCGCAAGCGCAGCGTGCCACGCCGACGGCCGGCGTCCAGTCGGGTTGCTGTATAAGGTCGAGGTCGGTTCGGGGAGGGTACCCACATGTTCTTCGTGCTTGTTGCATGCTCTTGTGCACCCTGGGGAGGGTATCCTTGGATGTTCTGGGCGTTTTGGCCGGTGGAGGGCCTCGTGTTCCTGAGGGATGTTCTTCTGCCCTAGGCCCGACTGTAAGCCGCGGCGTAAGGCCGCTGTGCCATCCCGAGTAAGCGCCCGTCTCTTTTCGTCGCTCGTGTGGGAGGCCTCTCAGAATTGCCGAGCGCGTTCCGCTACTCGCAAAGTGCCTGCTCGCAAACGTCCGAAAAACCAGACGCCTTCCCTTGGGTGATGCATCGTAAGTCCCCTGCGGCGGATTCAGGCCACCCAGAGGCATCCCACATGAACGACGGAAAGACATCGGCGCTTACTCGAGATGGCATAGCGACCGTACGCCGCGGCTTACAGGTGGACCTGGGGCAGAAGAACATCCTTCAGGAACACGAGGCCCTCCGCCAGCCAAAACGCCCAGAACATCCAAGGATACCCGCTTCGGCGATGACAAAAGGTATGGTTACGCTGGGGTGTGGTTTGCGATTGGCACCGTTGGGGCCTGAGGGGCACGACACCGTCCTCGTCGGGCCTCCTCGGGGCGCGGGAGAACTCTGTGGAGGTCCCCGCGCGCCCCCCGGGGGTGCCCTGTCCCTCTACAGGGGGAATCTTCAGAAATAGTCAAACAACAGTCTGAGGACTAGTTTTTGCTTATTTTTTGGGACTTCGCCCAACATAATTCCCATGTCGGGGGACACGCCCGACTTGAGCTCGTCCGAAGCAGGCGGGGCTCGGCCCGGCGCCGGCGGGCTGGCTGCAGCCCGACGGCCCGCGGCTCCTCGCGCGGGCTGCGCTTTGGCGCGCCGCGTGGGCGGCCAGCGCCGAGCCCCTCGGCGAGACGCCGCGGGCCGCCGCGGCGGCGCTGCGCGGCTGCCTCGGCGCCGAGGACGCTGGGCGCGTGGCGGGCGCGCTCGCCGAGGCCCGGCGCGTGGGCCTGGAGCTCCGAGGAGGAAAGGCCGAGCATCCTCTCTTCTTGGGGTGGAGGGCCAGGGGTCAAGTCGGGCCTGGCCCTCGACAGGAGGGGTAGATTCGAAGATAGTCAAAAAATCGTCTGGGGACGATTTTTGGTCTGTTTTTGGTCATCTGGGGAGTACTTTTTTTTGAGTATTCTTAAGTTTTCGCCCAAAATCCCCCTGTAGGGGGACAGGCGCGACCTAAGCCAAGGGGTGAAATCGGGAATTCAGGAGGGAAAAACACACAGAGACACAATTCATCGTCGATTCCCCAGAACATATGGGAAAATATATGGGAAGTGGGGGGGAAGACAACAGCCCAGGAAATATGGGAACATCTGGGGAATCCTGTATTTTCTATGTATTTATTTGTGTGTCCTAGGGCCCCTTCAGAAATGCCGTGTCGATGGGATGTCGAGGCCTGAATCTGCAACGGGTGAGTCACAGGACGGATTGATATTCGAAGTGCAGATTCCCATGTGGATCTCACCCTGAGCCCTCCACCCATCGGCGCAGCGGCATTGGTACCTTTTTCCGGGGGAGCGAACAATGACATGAGCATCAAATTTCGAGGGTCCGCGCGGATTGGCGCTGGACCCCCCTGGCGGCGCCTCTGGCACCGCCCCTGGCGCGCTACGCGCGTCACGGCTGGGATTCCAGCGCCGATCCGAGAAATCCGCGCGGACCTCAGAGTTTTTATGTTTATGTCGTTGTTTGTTCCCCTGGGAAAAGTACCCATGTCGCTTCGCCGATGCCCTTGCCTCGTGCTCGCCCTGGTGGGCCTCCCGGGAGGCCCTCGTCACCACCGCTGGATGCGCTGCGAGATTCTGGTCAGGACGTACCCCGGGAGAGGTCTGGGGAGGAGCGGTACACGCCGGTCGTTGGGAGTAGGTACTTCTGGATTCCCAGATCCCAATCTATTTGAGCGCCTTCCTGCTCCAAGAATCGGCATGGTTTTGGTGTGTTCTGTTATTCTCTGGGAGGGCCTGAGCCCGATCTACTTCATCCGCCTTCCTGATTCACGTTTTTACCTACTTCGTCCGACCGACGGGTAAGCAGAAAGTTTTGGAGCTCCGCTCGGATTTCTTGGATCTGTGCTCGACACCCTGTCGGCGCCGCCCCTGGCGCGCGGAGCGCGCCAGGGATGGGGGTTCAGCGCCGATCCAAGAACTCAGCGCGGAGCTCTACAAGTTCATGCCTACGCTCTGGGGAGCCCATCTCTGCGTGGGCAGAGCCCCTGGGCCATCCTGCTCAGGCTCTCGGCACCAGTCCTTGTTGGGATCTTGGCGTGTATTGGTCCTCCTCCTCCTCCTCCTCCTCCTCCTTTGCCTCCTCGTCCCCCCTCCTCCTCCTCCTCCTCCTCCTCCTCCTCCTCCTCCTCCTCCTCCTCCTCCGCCTCCGCCTCCGCCTCCGCCTCCGCCTCCGCCTCCGCCGCCGCCCCCTCCTCCTCCTCCTCCTCCTCCTCCTCCTCCTCCTCCTCCTCCTCCTCCTCTCCTCCTCCTCCTCCTCCTCCTCCCTCCTCCTCCTCCTCCTCCTCCTCCTCCTCCTCCTCCTCCTCCTCCTCCTCCTCCTCCTCCTCCTCCTCCTCCTCGTCCCCTCCTCCTCCTCGTCCTCCTCCTCCTCCTCCTCCTCCTCCTCCTCCTCCTCCTCCTCCTCCTCCTCCTCCTCCTCCTCCTCCTCCTCCTCCCCCCCCTGCTGCCCCCCGTGGCTTCCCCAGGAGCTGCCGCGCGCCTGGCCGCCAGGGGCGCCGGGCCGCGGCCTGGTCGCGGCGGCCGCCGCCCGCCTGGAGGCCCTGGAGGAGCGCGAGGCAGCCCTGCGGCACCGGCTCCCGGACCTGGACTGGCAGAGCTCAGGAGGGGAAACAGCACACAGACACAACTGATCGTCGACCCCCAGGAGAATACGGGAGAATATGGGAAGTGGGGGGGGAAGCCGACGATCCAGAAAATATTTGCACAATATGGGGAATCCAGGGATTTGTGCCGGTTCAGTTGTGTGTCCCAGGGCCCCTTCCCCTTTAAGAGCGAGGAGGAACAGATCGGACGGGGCTAGGACGAGGATAAATCCGCTCTGGGAAGATGGCGACGCTCGATATATCCTCCAGAGCCGCTGGATCCCAGAGATTCTCGATATATCTTCACCTGTTTTTTTCCTCGTCCTGGCTTCGTCGTAACAGATACCCATACTAGGAGCAGATACCCATACCCGTCGGTCGTTGGCAGTAGGTATTTTTTGATGCCCAGATCCCAATCCACTTCCAGCGCGATCCTACTTCAAGGGCCGATGTTTTTTTGCTGTGTTCTGTTGTTCTCTGGGAGGGCCTGAACCCAATCTGCTATATACGCCTTCCCACTTCATGCCTCTTCCTGCTTCCCTGCCGCCCCCTCTTTCGGCCGTCTCCTCGGCTTTGCCCCCTCCTCCTGCACGATGGCACAATCTGCTGCAACGGTGTCCCCGTTTAGGCAGCCCTATCGCCAGCGCAGACGACCCCTGCCTGACCGCCGACGCATCACGAGTCTCTGCCTGCTTCTTCCGACTGACGTGCACCGGTGCTCGTCCCGAGAGCCCTCGCCGCCACGGCTGGGCTCTCTCCCCGAGCGCCTCTGGTCAGGGCGCACCCAGCCGCGCGCAGAGGGGGCTATGGGGGGAGGGGGCAGGGCTTCTTCGGAGCACCCCTGCTTCTTACAAGGGCGCGGGCCATTGTCTGTGGGTGTGAGGCCGGCGCCTTCCAAGAAGCAGCCTTCTTCTAAGGAGCCTGCCCCGTGCGCGCCGCCAGCGCACCCCGGGAGAGGTCCGGGGAGCAGCGGCAGCACGCGGGGGTGTGGGTGTTTGTGGCTGTGGCCTCCCAGGCAGGCCCGGCGGCTGCGGTCGCTCCTCTCCGGCGCGGGCGCGCGCCTGCTGCTGGGGGAGGCTCAGCGTCGTCAGACCTGGGGCTCGCTTTCCACCCCCCGGCGTTACCCCTCTACAGGAGGAATATTCTCAAAAGTAGTCAAAAAAGAATCCGGGGACGATGGTTCGGCTATCTTTGGACTATTTGTGAGTATTTCTTGACTGTTTTTCATTTCCCTTCCAAAATCCGCCTGTAGGGAGGGCATGCCCGACCTGAACCTGGGGCTCGCTTTCCACCCCCTGGCGATAACGGTCGTTATCGGGGGGGACGAGGGGGCCGGTAACGTCACGATTCGAGCCGGCGCCGTCGAGGAATTGGCTACCCATGCCCATTCCAAAACGGCAGCACGAAGCGCGACGTTACCAGGCCAGGTGGGGGGGGGAGCATCCCAGGTAGCAGCCGCTATCGCGAATCGTGAAAAACGCGCTCCTGTCCCCATCCCCAGTCTGGGTGTTGCCAAAGGCGTCCCTGGCCCAAGGTGCTCCCATGGTCCCCAAGGAGGCCCAGGTTGCCCGCACGGAGCGCGCCTCACGAGGCTCAGAAGGCCCCGGGGGGCCCCAAGGTTGGTGCGACGAGCGGGGGACACCGCAGCCTAGCGGCTAGGGACCACTCCAGCAGCACCAGTGCACGGGGCCCAGGGTTCCTCAGCGCCGCCAGCCTACCCCCTCGAGGGGTGGACGGACGTCGCGAACCCCGACGGAGACGGCCTCTACTACCACCCAGGGGGTCGAGTCGGACAGCCGGGCTATTCAAGAGGGACAAAAAACGCACAGACACAATTCATCGCCGATCCCCCAGAAAATATGGGAAAATATGGGCGGTGGGGGGGAAGACAAAAACCCATAAAATATGGGAAAACATGTGGAATCCTGTTATTTGTATGTCTTTATTTGTGTGTCCCAGGGCCCCTTCAGCTATGGCTTCCGCGAGGGGGGTGTCGAGGGAGCACGGGCACCGCGCGAGGGCGTCTCTGCCGGCGACGGGCCCCGGCTCCCCGGAGACTCGGCGCGCGCTCCGTCGCCAGGCCCGGCGGCACCGGCCTCGTGTCTCGGGGCGTGCTTTCCCCGAGCCGCGGATCTGGCGCCCTCGCGCCAGATCCACGGCTCTGCAATCCACGTCAGCGCGTGCCCAGGGATAGGGGGTACCGTCGGGGGCCCAGGGACGCGTCCTGGCAGGTGCCGTCGGGCTGCTCAGGGGGGTGCCCTGGCAGGCGCCCTCGGGCTGCTCGCAGGAGCGTCCCGGCAGGCACCGTCGGTCGCTGCAGGAGCGCGTCCTGGCAGGCACGCCCTGGCAGGCATTCTCGGGCTGCTCGCGGAAGCGTCCTTGCAGGTGCGCAGGTCTGACGATGCGGAGAGGCGGAGCTCGAGGCCCTCGCGAGGCGCTGCGGGGAGCTGCGGCGCCAGCTCCCTCCGTGCAGGGCGCTGCTGTGCGCGCTGCTGCACGACCCGCGGGGCCTCGACAGGGCGGTGGCGGACGCCAGGGCCGCCGGCCTGGACCAGCTGGAGGCCTGCGCGGTGCCAGAGGGCCCAGCGCTCGTGGCCGCCGCCGAGCGGCGGCTGCGGCGGCTGGCGGGGGCGCCGGGCGGCGGCGGCGGCGGCGGCTGACCGCGCTGGGGAGGCCGTCGGCCGCGGGCGCGCCGAGCGCTCGCGGGCGCCGAGCGGCCGCGGGCGCCGAGCGGCGGCGGGCGGGGGCGCCAGGCGGCGGCTGCTGGTCGCGCCAGGAGGGCCTTCGGCTGCCAGCGCCGAGCGGCGGCCGCGGCGGCCGGTTGCTGCGAGGGAGGTCTCGAGGCAGGAGCCCAGGGTCGGCGGGATCAGCTTTCTGGAGGGGCCGGGTCGCACCCGTGGGGCCCTGCACACGTCGGCCAGCGCACACGCACAGGGGAGGTCGTGGTGTCGCCCCCTCTGGCCACCGCATGCCGCCCCCTGCCAGGGCGCTGTTGCCGTTGGAGTGCAGGGCTTGCCTCGCTAATGTCGGGGGTGGATAGACCTCCTACCCTGACACGTCGATTAAGGAATTGGCCGTTTTCGGTTCGCGAGAGGGCGTCGCGGGCGTCATTTTTGCGGGTCCAGGTCCGTCGGTTTCGGTCCTCGGCCGTTTTCACAAAGGGGAGGTTTATTAAAGGGAGGTTTGTCCACCGCCGATAATGGGGCCACCCCCTCCGAGATGGGCGTCAAGAGGTTTGCCTCCCGGGAAGGCTGCCGCCCGAACCCTGGCGCCCCTCTTTCGCCGAGCGCGTTCCGCTGCTTGCACAGTGTCCACTCGCAACCGTTTGGAACAAGCGTCTTCGTCTATAGATATATAATGGATCGCAGATCCCCTGCGGCGGATCCAGGCCATTCGCGAGTAATCACTGCACGAGTAGTGGAACGCGCTTGTCTACTCTTGCTCGGCTGTGAAGCGCGCCGAGCTCGGGAGCGCGCTGAAAAGCACGGCCGCCATCGCTTGTGGTGTGAAGCGACCGTGCCATCGTGTCGGGGGCACTCTTCTTGAATTCGGGCTGCAGTCCAGGGTATTTTTTGGAGGGTTTCCTCGAGCACTGGGACACTTGGGGATCCGATGCTCCACGAAGCCGCAAATCTGCTCGCACTGTCATGCAGGCATGAAGCGAACGCGATGCCAGAAGGCCCCTCCTCCTCCTCCTCCTCCTCCTCCTCCTCCTCCTCCTCCTCCTCCTCCTCCTCCTCCTCCTCCTCCTCCTCCCCCTTCACCCTTCTCCTCCCTTCCTTTCTCCTTAGACAGAACTCATCCCTGTCGCACCCCGAGGCCGGTCGGAAGAGCGGGCTGGGCGTCTCGCCTGAGACTTCCCCACCGCTTGTGGCCCTGGAGTTTCAACATTGGCAACAGTTTCACGGACGGAGGGGTGGGTCGCTTCCAAAATGTGGCTCTCGCCGTAGCCCCGCGCACATTCGTCTCAAAGGAATGCGACAGTTTCACGGATCGAGGACTGGTTGTTTTCAACATGTGGCTCTCGCCTTGACGCCGCGCGCATTCGATGTAACAACCTGCAAGAGTTTCACGGATGGAGGGTGGTTCCTTTTCAACATGTGGCTCTAGCCTTAGCGCCGCGCGCATTCGTTTTTGAATGCGTTGCAAGGGTTTTGCGGATTCTCATGGTTAACGACCCGGAAATTGTGTTTTTGGAACGATGTATGATTGTCAAGGCGCAACAATTACGCTGATTTGTGGTGTTGAAGTCCAAAGAACGAGGTTCTGGTATGATTCAGGATCGTCAAGACGCAACAGTAAGGTTGACTCGTGGCGTTGAAGTCCCAAGAGTGGTGCTTTGGCACAGTACATGATTTTCAAACCGTTGTCTCCCAACGAGGCGCTTCCCCCCTTAGTGGAAATGAATCCTTTTACGGGCCTGTGAAGAGGGAGCTTGGAGGGAGGACTTCATACAACATCGTTGGTGAGTGATGGGTTTGCACTGGTTCTCCTCCTCCCTCCTCGTCCTCCTCCTGCTCCTCCTGCTGCTCCTCCTCCTCCTCCTCCTCCTCCTCCTCCTCCTCCTCCTCCTCCTCCTCATGGGCGCTTGCGACCACCGTGCTTTCCAGGGTGGTGCCACCCTGGAGTTGGGTCCACCATCGGGGTTGATAGGTCGTCCAGTCGGTACGGTCTAGTCGGCTTGGCAGCTGCTCAGATCGGACGGGGCTAGGACGAGGACAAGTGGCACGCGTGCCCTGGCTCTTGCAGAAAGGAGCTGCGAAGGACTGGGAAGCCTGGACGGAGGAAGGCTCCCAAGGGCGGGTGGCTCAGGGGAGCTGGGGCTCAGGCTCAGGGGGGGGGCCGAGGGGGACGAACCACCACGAGCCACGAACCACGACGAAGGTAAAGGGTTCCGCGGCCCAGGGGGGCTGCCCTGGGAAGCCTGGACGGAGGGGGGGGCCCCAAGGGGGGCTCAGGCTCAGTGGAGGGGCCGAGGGGGACGAACCACGACGAACCACGATCCACGACGAAAATAAGGATGTCCGCGGCCCAGGGGGGCTGTCCTGGGAAGCCTGGAGAGAGCAAGCCTCCGAAGGGTGGGTGGCCACGAACCACGACGAAAATAAAGGGTTCCGCGGCCCAGGGGGGCTGCCTTGGGAAGCCTGGACGGAGGGGGGGTCCCAAGGGGGGCTGGCCCCACGACGAAAATAAAGGGTTCCGCGGCCCAGGGGGGCTGCCCTGGGAAGCCTGGACGGAGGGGGGGTCCCAAGGGGGGTGGCCCAGGGGAGCTGGGGCTCAGGCTCAGGGGAGGGGCCGAGGGGGACGAACCACGACGAACCACGATCCACGACGAAAATAACGATGTCCGCGGCCCAGGGGGGCTGTGCTGGGAAGCCTGGACGTAGCAAGCCTCCGAAGGGTGGATGGCCCAGGGGAGCTGGGGCTCAGGCTCAGGGGAGGGGCCGAGGGGGACGAACCACCACGAGCCACGAACCACGACGAAAATCCACCGACCCTGTCGGCGTGTGGAAGATGCTTTTCCGTTCGTCGTGAACGTCGTCGTCGTCGTCGTCGCCGTCGTCGTCGTCGTCGTCGTCGTCGTCGTCGTCGTCGTCGTCGCCGCCGCCGCCGCCGCCGTCGTCGTCGTCGTCGTCGTCGTCGTCGTCGTCGTCGTCGTCGTCGTCGCCCTCCCCTCTGGCGCGCCAGCCAAAGCGAAACCAAAGCGAAATTGAGCAACGTCGTAGCTGAGTCGAAGGGAAGCCCCTTCCCTTTGATCCCTTCCCCGCGGGGGGGGGGGGGAGGTCGGGGGGGGGGTCCCGGGGGGGGTCCCGGGGGAGGGGGGGGGCAGATACGCATCCCCCCCAGGATGTCCCGGGACCTAGAAAAGCCTCCAGACTGGCCAAGAGTGCCCCAAGAGGCTTCCAAGACGGCTCCAGAGGGCCCCGAATCGCCGAACCATCGGTCGAAGACGCCAAAGTAGCCTCCAGACGGCCCAAGAGATTGCCAAGACGCTCGAAGAAGTCTCCGAGAGCACTCCCAAGAGGGCACGAAGAGGGACAAATCAATGATTTCCTTAAAGTTTGACAGATTTTGGCGTTCTCGCCTTTTCAACTTGCCGACGCTCAAAGACGGCCCCAGATGCCCCCAATATTGTCCCAAGATAGCCCAAGAGGCCTCAAGAGAGCCCCAAAATGACCTAAGAGAGCCTCAAGACCGCCCAAGATGCCTCCAAGATGGCCCCAGAGGCTCCCCAAACGGCTCCAACAGGGTGCCCAGACGGGGGGCCCGACGAGCCCTCCGCGACAGAGGCTCCCAGGAAGCCCCAAGATGCCCCCAAGAGGCCACCACGAGACCCCCAAGAGGCCCCCAGGAAGCCCCAAGAGGCCCACAGGAGCTTCCCAACACGTTCTTAAGAGGCTCCAAAGAGGCTGCCAAGATGCTCCCAAGAGGCCCCAAAACTAGCCTTCAGAGGGCCCCCGAGAGCGCTCCGAAGAGACTCAAAAAGCATCCCTGAGGACTCTGACCCACGTCAACATCGTCGTCGTCGTCGTCGTCGTCGTCGTCGTCGTCGTCGTCGTCGTCGTCGTCGTCGTCGGCCAAAGACGCTCCCGAGAAAGCCTGACGATTGCCAACAACGGCCCCAACACGACCCCCCCCATACGAGACCCAAAGATACCCCCAAGAGGCCCCCCCCGCCACATTAGAGAACGCATGGGTCGCCCTCCAGGGTCGGCGGCACCGGCCGTAAGGCCTTCGCAATAAAGGGTTCCGCGACGGAGCAAGCCTCCGAAGGGTGGGTGGCCCAGGGGAGCTGGGGCTTAGGCTCAGGGAAGGGGCCGAGGGTGACAAACCACCACGAGCCACGAACCACGACGAAAATAAAGGGTTCCGCGGCCCAAGGGGGGCTGCCCTGGGAAGGAGCTGGGGCTTAGGCTCAGGGGAGGGGCCGAGGGGGACGAACCACCACGAGCCACGAACCACGACGAAAATAAAGGGTTCCGCGGCCCAGGGGGGCTGCCCTGGGAAGCCTGGACGGAGGGGGGGTTCAAGGGGGGGGGGGGTCCAGGGGAGCTGGGGCTCAGGCTCAGGGGAGGGGCCGAGGGGACGAACCACGACGATCCACGACGAAAATAAGGATGTCCGCGGCCCAGGGGGGCTGTCCTGGGAAGCCTGGAGAGAGCAAGCCTCCGAAGGGTGGGTGGCCCAGGGAAGCTGGGGCTCAGGCTCAGGGGAGGGGCCGAGAGGGACGAACCACCACGAACCACGAACCACGACGAAAATAAAGATGTCCGAGCTCTAGAGCACAGCTGTGCAAGAGGATAAATCTGTTCCAGAGCGTTCTGGAACGCTCTCAGAGCGTTCCGGAGCGCTCCGAGAAGGCCGCGGCGCCCGATACATCCCCCAGATCCGCCAGATCTCAGTGATTCTCGATTTATCCGTACCCGATCTTCTCCTCGTCCTAGCTTCCTCTGACTTCAGAAGTCGGACCTCTCCCGTCTCGCTCGTCCGAGGTTGTGCGGGGGCCCCACGCCCAAGCGGAGGCTGCTCTCCCCCTCAGCCTGCAGTTGCTGGGGCCCGCTCCTCCTTCTTGTGCTGCTTTCCCTGTTTTCTAGCTTGTCAGATATAGCCAAAGCAGGGCAACTTCCGAAGTAATTGTGAGGCTCTGCATACCCACCCC